AGATATAGGTACATATGTAAAAAATTTCGATTATAATTTGGTCACGTGACGAGGCACAAAAATCCTTGTCAAAATATGGTAGTGTTGCTCAGTAACAAATATTAGAAATATGTGTATTGTTATGTTGAAATGCGAGAAAAATATTAACTTTTAAATTCAGGAAAAAAAAATGTACCAAAATAATATTAAAGTATAAGTACTAAATTACAAATTTTGATATGGCACCCTGTATAAAATGTTTTTTGATCATGACCAAAAATATATTAAATTTGCTATGCCCATTCATTATGTACTTGTTATCTGCTGCAGTCAACTATGTTATGTTATATGGCATGCAGAAGTCAACGACTGTAGCTTTATGGTGGTTTTTGCAACCGGATAACATTTTTATTATACAATAATATTAACGTGCCCTATAATAAATAAAATTTGCATCTATGGACCCTAATAGGTACCAATACTATAGAACGTCTTGTCTAGCTAATAAAAAAATTACTATATTTTTCAATGATTTATTTATTCCAGAACTTGTAAAATATATGAAAAAAGTTGGTTCATCTTTTACTGCTCATTATTATTGAACAAGTCATAATTTCCAATTTGATATGGATTACAGAACATGACTCCTAAAATACCATATATATCACAAAATCATATAATAATATCAAATATCAAAATGAAAACTATAGTAATAAATTATTTTGACTTCCAAAAATTTTTCAAAAAAAGTAGGTGAAGGATGTCTATAATACACTATATAAGCTAACAAAGAACTTTTCGACTTGAGACGAATAAATTACCCTACAGTTTTTGAATCAAACTAATACATTGTAGTCACGTGTTGTAAAAAGGTTGGTCAGAAAGTGTGTTTAATAAAAATGGTACTGCAAACACAACACTAATTTCAATAACTCTTTAGTTAGCTCATAATCTTAGTGGACATTGTTTCCTTAATGTCAGCTAAACCGACATTAAGGAAATGATTAAAATGTGAGGAAGCAGCATAGAGTATGGTTAGAAAGAATTTAAAAGATGCCTACCAGTATTCAAAAGGAATTCGATTCGATTACTTGACAGTTAATAACATTTACAACGATGTTTTTTTTTTAGTTTAAAGAAACTCTACTTCGAAATAAGAAACAAAAACAGAAAAAAATTTGAATATTCAAAATTAGCTTCGCTGATACATATTTAGCTATCAATAGATCTATGACCGTTTAATTTATTTACAATCACAATCACCTTGAAAGTTGATAACTGACTATATTGCAAAACGTAATGGGACTTCATTACAGGAGTAAAGAAATAATTTTCAAATAATATAAACGGCTTTCAGTAACTAAACATAGTACATCAAAAATCGTTTGAAGCCAGTAAAGTAAAAAAATGTTTTGTATTCTCGAAGATAATATGTATCTATACTGGTTGTATAACTATTCACATCTGTCTTTTAGAGTTTATATATAACTAATGTATTATAATTCATCCTTATTATTCATCACTGCTATTTAACGGGTTACCATGGACTGTTTCATCACCTCAATAAAAGATAGATTGTCGACACTGCTTACAAGCAGACTAGACTTCCAGTCACATTCTCTGTCACTATTCAGCCTTAATGTGTGACCAGGACGTCACTGGGTTCAAAATTACTTTCCCATTCTAACAATAAGAGGTCCTGAACGGCTGACATGCATGTCTTCTATTCGATTATGATCTGTAGCAGCACAAAAGACCAACTATGTTGTGATGCTCCGCTCTGTTAGAAGCCGCTACCCTGTTTATTTCTATTCTATTATTTTCTATTCTACATTTGGTTGTAATACGAATAATTCATACAAACAACATTAATGAGTTTATGAAAATTAAACGATCTCAAGATTCTAATCAGCTACAGCGTTGTATTTTACAGTACAATGTCATGCATGACAATATTATTGTTTTACCATCGAAAATTATGTCCCTTCCTTATAATATATAGAATGTAAAATTCAAAACCAATTATATTATGTATTGAACACTAAACTAAGTTTAGAAACTTAGTAAACTAATAAACTGATATCACCGTTGTAATAACCAAGGACGGGCGTTTATTTGGAAATGTTCTATTTGTCGGAGCATGTCTTTCGGTTTGAAAGATACTTTGTAGCAAGTAAAATTTAATTATAGACAAAATAAATTGAGCGAAAAAAACTAAAATGAAAGACAACAAATTAAAACTTTTCTTTCGCATATCGTATTTCAAAAGTAAAAAATGTGAAAAAGTGTAAAAAAGATATAAATAATAACAGCAGCGCAACATTTATGATAGTGAAATTCGCGAATTTTGGTATTTGGAGCACACCGTGAGGAGGCCATGAGTTCGGTTGCGCGTGGCTGTTCAAAAATACTTTTCGGTTTTTTTCCTCAGTAGTTTATTTCATTTTTTCCATTTTTTCCATTTTGCAAGTGTGAAACAGTTTTCATTGTAACTACAATAAATTTAGAGTTATTCCCCCCTTTTCACACCAAATCGACTAACGTGTACCGCTCGCAGGCAATTAAAAGTATTAATATAATAAATAATTTTTATTTATTTTGCAATATGAAATACTTTTTCGAATTTTTATTTCTGAAATTTAATTTTATAATTACGATTTGCACACATTTTCATTTTCGGTTTAATTTATTGAAATTGGGTTTTCTCGAATTGCCATTGAAATATGATGACAAGTCACACCAACAAATATATATAGAAATTAAATATTATTGCAATCATAACTAACATTTTAATTATTTGATGCAGATATAAATTATTTTAAATGGAGTAGTAGAACAAATATATAATGTGTAGATCTTAGTTCTGGGTAAACTCGTCATTAAATTCTTGTGAACTTAAACCTCTCCAAAAATAGTTTACATAATTTGCATATAACAAAAATTGATAATAATAGTTATAAATTAATAAATAAATTTAAATTTCGATTCCTCAAATTATCAAATATCAAATTTCTTTTTTGAAGAATTATATAAATATGGTTTTGAACAAACTGAGAAGACTTTTCAAAGTACCATGGTACATTAGGACGAACGAGATCCTTAAGGACCTCAAGATTGATCTCATTAAAAAATACATAAAGGATAGAGCCCTGAAATTATTTGCGAAAACTGACAGACTTATCAACACCGCGTTATCAAATCTCAGAATGGTTACAGGCTCTTTGGGGAGGTATGCGGAGCTGAGGTCAATTATTGCTTAGTCTGATGAAGTGATAAACAATAATCCAGTCAAGGCGTAAAGAGGGGTTTTGAAAATACTTCAAGTTAAGAAAGAGTACATTGGCTCAAATAGCTTCAACATAAAAATATGATTAATCACACGCTCAATGATCGCTTTGGTTTTACAAGAGCTCAATGAAGACGCTGAATATAAACACTATTCAAAGATTCTTTTAGTTTTAAACGATTTCGATGAAGATATAGAATTCTTGATAACTATGATTTGAAATAGAAGCAGAGTGAATGGGTACATTTTGCGGTCTTTAGAAAAAAAACATTGATGCAAGAGCGAACAGTAATTGGTGTAGTATGAACGAAAAGCTATGATACGAGTAGTAATTTGAATTAGCGAATTACTATCAGTTAAGATAGTCCCGATATAAAAATATTTCAAATTAGATTTTATTTTTAACTAGGCGCAATTGAATAAATAATAATTAAAAAAAGAAGTTTGTATAGTAAAAAAATATTCAGCTCTTTTGATGAAATGAAAACCAAATAGTTAATGAAAAACTATTTGGTAGATTAATTAATAAATTATTGAATCTTAAAATTAGTTTATGAATTAGATAGTTGAAAGAAGAGACCTGTAAGGAGTCAACTGCTAAGGTGTTTGAATGATTAATTATTTTGATCTTGTAATTTTTATTGTAACATTTTATTTTTTTCAAAACATAGCATACCTTCAAATTTCAAATATGAATAGTTTAATTTTATACAAACCACGGGGATCTGATCTGATTACCTGATTATCAGATTAACTTTGCTTTAAACCCTCGAATGGTTTCAATAATTGAATTGTTGACTGTACTTTATTATGTACTACATAGTTCCAAATAGATTTAACTAGGAATTTCTTTAACAGGACTTTGTTTTCATTGAACAGCACAGATTTTATTCCTAGAAGCCCAAAAGTTTCATAGTTAGAATTAATTCATCTGTTTAAATTTATTGTTTTAAAAAAAGAGTAATTGTAATATTATATACTCGTAGAGTTAAGAAGGCCGATAGAAAAACAATGAAAGAAAGAGTATATAATGACAAAGCGAGTAGAAATAGGAGTAGTAAGAACGAACGAGGAAAGTCAGTCAAGATAGTAAAAGAAATAGGCACATCTTTTACTAAAGGGATATTCTTTCAGTATTAGGCCTGTTCTTTCGTAAACATATTGCAAATGAACAACATAAAAAAAGCACTATTTTTAATAGCAATTCTGGAACAACCGAAAATTTTGTTAGGCTTACATATGCAATACACTTAAAAAAATTTAATGTGAAAGTTTCGAAAACGAATTCCTTACAATTATGGGCAAAAATATTTTATTTTTTAAATGACTGTGAATAAAATTTGTATTTTTAGGCCCTAACAATCCTCAAGTCCACTTCTGGACTCTCAGGAAGATATGCTGATTTAAGGTCCGTCATCAACTAAAAGACAAATAAATGATATGATTTTTTTTTTAGCCTAGTTAAAGCCTAGTGTGGGGTAAAAATAAGCCCCCCAACCATTATAGAGTAAAAGTGCGTAATAGCACTAACTCAAGAAGAAGAAGAATCAAGAATCAAGAAGTATTATTTGTCAAACATTTATTGACAGTTAACTGGAAATTTTGTATGTACCTTCAAAAATCGTTCATAATAAAAGAATTTTTAGTCTTGGTCTTGGCAACCATGCAATTTGAGCTGATTATTTGTTAAGCGGTTTCAAAAAAGTTGCACTAATTAAGCCAGCAGTGTTGTTGTTTCACATATTATTTTTAAAATAAGCGGTTGTTCTTTTGTGATATGTTTACAAAAGAAAACGCCTATAATTAACATTTAATTTAATATATTCCACGGAGAAAATGAATGCTTTTCATAATTTAATTATTTAAACAAGCTCGTTATTTTATTTTAAAATAAGGTTTTTAACAAAATTTTTCTTCAATTTATTTTCTAATATCTAAGTTTTTTAGTCCAGTTAGCTGTTATTTTGTTTTATTGTTTTTTCTAATTGTAACATTTTTAATGCAGTTAGCTGACAACAATTTTGGTTTAACTTTGCTGTTGAGTACAGCACAGCACAAAAGATTAACTATGGTCGCAGTGCTCCGCTCCGTTGGGAGCTGGTAGCCTGTTTATAACTATTTGGCTATTTAGTAGAATAGATATAGTAAAGAAAAGCTAAAAATTCAGTAAGAATATACAGTTCTCTTGCGGTACGTTTAAATTTTCTAAGGATTGTTGATAATGATGAATTAATGAGATGACTGATTTAAAATCAATATCAGACAATATTTTCCTATGGATTCGTATCTGTATCTGTTATAGTATCTGTATTTGTCTTGGCAACTATTAAATATTTGAAAATTCAATATTTTAACTTCATAGAACTATAAAAATTAAAAGAATTTTTAATTTAAGTGCTATAAAATAATAATAATAATTTTATAGTATCGTAATTGTAATTGTTAAACAAAATTTACTGCACTGTCAATTAGTTAATTGACATAAAATTTTTCTAAAAAAAATCATCTTTATATCATATATTATTAATTTTTTAATTTCTGTTCTCATAAAATTTAAATTATTTTCAATTATTTCTACTTGCCCACAATAATTGCGACAAAATCAAAAACTGAATTAAACCACATAGTTCCACCATTAAGCTAGAACGGATGCCGCAAATTTGGTCACATGTACCATATACGTTGCATACTTAGTTACATGTACATGTACGTACATATATTCCACACACTTTCATTCATATATGGCATAAGTCAGATACAAGATACAATACTAACACTCGGTGCTTATGCAGCCGAGTTCGTAAAGTGTAGGAGTCGACTCGCTGACTCGATGACTCGATGACTCGTACTCGCACTGCTGCCTTTTTCGATTTTATGAATGAAAATTACGTTTACATTGGCGTATCGTAGCGTGACACAACGTAACGTAAATGTAGTAAATATCGTTATTGAGCTGTTGTTGGTTTCGTTGTCGTTTGGATTTGAGGTTCAATTGTTGATTGCCTTTTGTAGTCAAAGTGCAAAAATGTATCTGTTGCTTGTGTCGTTCTCGAAACGTGAATGGATTTGTTTGTCTGCAAAACCTTGGATTATTGAGTCACTCATGAACAATTCACTCTAAGGCGAATACATTACTTTCATATACAATATATTGAACTTAAATCTTAAATGATTTTATAAGATTTAAAATCTATTTTAAAGCATTTTAGTTTATTTGTATAAATGTTAGAAATTGTATTTCTTCTTTTACGTTACGTGTACTTCAAAAATTCAAGTGCTGAAAATAAATACACTGTGTTACGTTCACTGTATTTATATTTTTGTTCATACATATGCACACCCACATCAATAATTTGGCTAAAATTCACCATCAAATTGTATATGTTTACCTTAAAAAATTTTTAAATTATTTTTCAAATGTGCTTATTGTATTTAATCGTATAATTTGAGTCGCACGTGTATCTCATTTTTACTTTGTCATACCTAAACTGTGTCAATTATGTTTAAACAATTTTTGTGAATTTTTTATTCTACGCTCTGCTATTTAATTACAATTATTGTGTAAGTTGATATGATAATACATTCTCACTTCGTTTACTGTGCTTTTGCATCTATAGGTACAATACACAACACACACAGATACGAGGAAAGTAAAATAGTTTCGTATTTATAATAGAAAAATATTTAGTTATTAGTAATATCTAACACAGTTATTGAAAAATATAATGTCTTATATTGCTTATATTTGATACCAAGGTTTAATGATCATAACCCGTATTTCATTCTATACGCAATGCACCATGTTTTTACTAGGAAATACTTTGGCCCACGTGTATATAGCACGATAATTATGTCAAAGCGGAAATGGCAGATATTATTATGATTTTAATACCATAAACCAATGATATTACCTCAGTTATTAGATCTGTAACTTAATTCTGGACAATAGACAGATTATTATAAATTTTAAAAAAATTATTGCTTAGTAATGGTCATTTTCGATAGGTAAATCTGAATTTAATCTAGATTTACTCTGAATCTGTCAAATTTTGTTACCCGATCGAACATTTTTAGAGTAATTCAAAGTTTTTGTAGTTATTTTAACAGATATTTATATTTTTCACAAATACATATTATATATCGAATCAAATCAGAGTTGATTAGTTTAGTCATATAAACCAGCTGTTAAATAATCCTGTAATCCTGATACTTTGGTAAAATATCTAAAGTGTTATAAATTAATCTCGGTTGTTATAGATTAATCTTTAGTGTTAGAAAGATTTACCAACCGAAACTAAAAATTGCTCTTCAGATTTACCAATTGAAAACGTCATCAGAATTTCATGACATGTACCCAAGTAAATTCGCGAATTGGGGTACCCAAATATCCCAGTAAGCTAAGTAAGTAATCGAACTGGTTTTTTGCTGAAACCCAAAAGGCTTTTCATTTCATTCCTTTTGAATTTAGGTCATACGGTTGTACTCATTTTGCAATCTTTCTTATAAGTCTACAAACCATTGCTACCATGATAGTGTATTTTTCTATGATTACAATTCACAGAAACAAGATTTGTGTCGGTGAGTTATGTACTTATATAGATTTATTTCAGAACTTCTTCTGAACAACTCATCTGCTTTCTTGGTCCTTTCAATATTGTCCAGGAAAACAGCAGAGAGAGTGTTTGTGATGTTTAAATCGTCGTGAATTTGATTCATAGCTGCCTGACTATCTACAAAGGTATTGATATTGGAATGGCTAATTGTATTAGCTTGTATTTGCGTAGCTGCTTTTCCAGTGGCATGTATCTTAGATTAAAAGACATTTAAAACCATCTATGTGGTTGGTTAGTTGTCACAGATCCCGAAACTCAGTTTTCTCTGATATGGTAATTAGTAGATAGTAGCTCAACCCCATTGAATTTTAATTTACTCACGTCTCATGCTTTTAATTTAATCCAAAATTGTATAATATTCGTAATTGATTGGTTTCTATTTCCTAGTTTTTCATAGTTTTAGAATAGTCTTTAATACACACCCATATTGATGAAAGATGAAGTAATATATTCAGGTTTTCTTAAGGAGCACTTCTGAATGCCTCGGAAAAACTCAAGTACGTTAGTCTTTTTACTTGCCCAATACGAAACTGATTGCATTTTTAGACTAATGCCTACCAACAGACAAGGGCAATAGCTAATACGTGTCGTTTCCCAAATGTTGTTGTACTAACGTATTGGACATTTTAGAAGCGGAAACAGGGAAGTACACCTTTCCTCTGACGTGCCTCATGTAATTTTTCTGTTCAGAATTCTAACAAAGCAGCGTTTATGACTCTGCTTTAAAGAATTGTGCTGATCCATACAGCTATGTGTTCGTGTTCTCGTTGTTATAGGCTTCCTCGATATCCAGGAAGCATGTTAATGTGCACTCTTTTTAGTCAATTGACCTATCAATGGTGCCGATCATTTCGTAAAGAGCTGTTTTCACTGCTACTTATTCTAAATCCTAATATTGCCTTAAAGCAACTTTCCGATTTATGGAAATTATGAGATATAATAATATAAAAATTTGGGTATTTATCGAAGTAGCATAAGCCTTTAAAAACAATATGTTTCTTTGGAGTATGCCGTGAGTGTTTTCAGGGGATGGCAATTTACATTGCCATTATGCATTTTAATTTCTTATTTATCTTATTTAAGTTGCAAATTTATTGGATCTTCACAACTTCATCTGGAGAACGAAATAGTTTAACAAGAATAGAAGATAACAAAGGTTAGCAACTCTCCTCTTCCGGCATAATCACAATGGGCAATATATGTGTCTGAGTGGAAGTGCGGATAACTGTCAGCTCGATAGTTCCGATTGCCTGAGTATAGTAAGACGATATTTTATATAGAATTACAGCAACACTCTCAAAATTGTTGGATCCGATTTTTAACAAGGTATTAATAAAAAAAACTTACGTTTTGTAGAAAATGTTCTGTTCCTTTTGTCACCCAAATCAGTGCAGAAGTGTCCCAAGGTAGAGTACTCTGTGATATTTTATATTTCACGTGCAATCTACCTACTGTGAATAGAATACATTGGGTTAAGATTACGTGGATAATATTCTTATATCAATGTTAACCTGTTAATTGCTTTACTCAAGTATTTGTTAGACACGTTTTTTAGTGAACGTTTATTGTGCGGTTAATTAAAAATATTTTTTTTTGTATTTTTTCTAGTCTAGTATGTCTTCCGAAAAATACACTTTTTGGTGATTTTTTAATTAATAAAGAAATTAATACAATAAAATTATCCTTCTTTATTTTAAACTAAATAATATGTCTTTTTAAATATATGAAATACAATAATGTCATTTGATTAAAATCAGAACGCAACTATAATAACTTTTTTTAATATATTTCTTTGAAATTGTTTTTGACATTTTGGTTTACAGTATGTAAACCATACTATATAAAATATAGTATGGTTTTCATTTGAATAATTGATAATTTTATTATCAAATAATTTAATAATATACACTAAGGTTAGTCTTAAGCCGCTGTATAATAATAATCACTTCAAAATCAAAAATAGAAATTTATATAGAAAATTATATACTCAAATAATTAAGCCAGCACTACTGTACGGATGTGTAACTTAAAGCAAAGCCTCAAATACTGCCATAAAGCAATTACAAATAGCACAAAATCTGGCTTTAGGAAGACTAATTAAGATTCCTTGGTATATTAGAACAACAGACGTGCATAGAGATCTAAGAATCGACTCAGTGAAAAAATATATCAAGGACAGAGCCCTAAAATTATTCACAAAAGTTGATACGTTGCCCAGCCCCGCCCTAACAAACCTTAAGTCCACCTGAGGACGCACAGGAAGATGTGCTGATGTACGGTCCGTCATCAGTCAAAAGATAAATAAATGAAAATAAATCTAGTATAGTTAAAGCTTAGTGTGGGACAGGGATAAGCCCCCCAGTCACAAAAGAATAAAAGAGCGCAATAGTACTAACTCAAATCTCAACAACAACAACATAGATAATTTAACGTCGGAATTAATTATTTTACTGAATAGAAATTAGTGTATTTGGTAGAGATGTTTCGAAAAGTAGTGAACTTCAACAAAAATTCTTTCAATATAATTTTAATTAATTGAATTTTTCCCTGATCAGAAAAAATAATATAAAAGTAATTAAAAGATGTAAATATAATTAATAAATTCAATTATTCTACAGCTGGTTTATAATTTCGTTCCAATATAACACAACAAGTGTATTTGTTAATAAACTTTTACAGCAAACATTTGATACAGCAACAAAACTTCAGAAAAATGTGCGAACATAAAGTCAAGTATGGCTTTGGGTCAGTAGGTTAAGGTGCGCTGACTCTGAACTTCAAATTTGGCAGGGTGTGAGTTTAACCCTTGGAATTTGCAATCTCAAAAAATTATTTACGATTAATTAAATACAAGAAATAATTCCAAGACCACTGATGATGAGTATTTGGCTATACTCGAAACAGCTGTATGGTCAGCCAAAAATTCGAAAATTTTTCAATACGTTTACAGAATTGATAATAGTGTTTAATTAGTTATTATAATTGTGATCATTTTATAGTTCTAAAACCCAACCACTACCTTCCTTACTTTAGTCTTTATTTTATTTTATTTTATTTTATTTTATTTTATTTTATTTTATTTTATTTCATTTTATTTTATTTTATTTAAAAAGAGTTTTAGTATGTTGAAAAGTTATCGTTGATTTTTTATATATCTCGTTATATTTTCATATTTATTAATTAGTAATATTCAATTTTGATTTTTTATTTTGTAAAGGTTTCGAAAAGTAGTAAACTACAACAACAAAAATTGTTTTAATATTATTTTTAATTAATTAAATTTTTGGTTAACCATACAGCTATTTTGAGTATTGCCAAATACCCGTCGTCAGTGGTTTTGAAATCATTTCTTATATTTAATTCTCCTCTCATAAATTCATTTTTGGAGATGCACACTACAAGAGATATAGTCTCATGCCTGTCAAATTTTGAGCTGAGGGTCCTGTTGATTAACATTTATTTCATTTAACTTATTCACAATGGTTTTCGGAATCCGTTTATAAATTTAAGGTATTCTCATGCGTGTATTTGTATTAATACGTCTGTTATTGTATCTCTCACACTGTCGTTCTGTTCAAAAACTACTCGGATATTGTAAATAAAGCACACAAATTTAAATTTTATTCCAAATTTATTTTATCTCCTTCTCCTACTATAATATTTTGTGCTCCTTCTGAAGCGATACACATATGCCAACGCTCAACCCAATCTTCCATACACTTTTCGTAGGCCCGTGAAGGTATGGGTTTTAGTTCCTTCGGCGAATTCTCTTTTACCGATTCAATCGACTCAAAAAACTTACCACGAAGAGGCAATTTGAGTTTCGGGAACAGGAAAAAGTCGCACGGATCTAGATTTGGTGAATATGGTGCTGAGCGATGACAGTGGCGTCGTGTTTGGTCAAAAAATCGCAAACAACAACAATTTTTCATAGTAAAAATCGCTTAATGCACTTGAGATAGTCTCACATTAACAGTTGCTGTAAACAAACTAATTGACAGATGGCGATC